ATCATAACATTCTAACAAGTTACTAATTCTGACTATAGAAAAACTCCTCTTATTTCACATCTGACTGTAATTGATCAATAACACTCCTTGATTTTCAATGATATTTTAACTAATATCGGTCGGTGATCAAACCTCAAACAAATCAAATTCCTACAAACTAACTCTTGAAAGTCCAAAATATTTACATACATGCAATTCAATTGAAATTTAGTAAAGACCTGTATACAGTTTACACGCTCCATCCTCATAACTCTCCTTCATTTAGAATTTAGACGTCTAGAAAATAGTGGAATGTTACACTGGTTAATTCTGTAAGCAAGTTCATTCTTATGAGAAGTTAAAAACCCCTCATATCAAATATTAGTGCTTCCTGAAATGTTTGAAATGATCTACACATAGGGAAACCTTTTCGCTAATTTACAGCCGAACTTATCAGTAGTGTACTCGGTTAAACTTTACTCAGAGAGCCGAATCAGTAGAAATCACGCGAATTTTGACTTCCTACTTGGGCGAACTAGTAATAAGAAGACGTAGTTTATCCGAAATTTGTAATGTATTGGCGCAACACATTTCGGACATTCTAATCACACATGTAATTTTTATACACAGTTTTTATATAGAAAACAAGAAGGCATGAATAATTACAATACAGGTCAGGGTCACAAATAACGAGTAGGGAGACGCAAAAGTTGTGGGTAAGAAAGGTAAAAAGAGGAAAGCCAAGGTAAATAAGGGGTTAAAAATATTATGAAGTAATTGTTTACTGTTATCAGTAAACATTACACTCTACCACAGTGCACAAGCTTCATTCTTATATCAAGGCAGGTTTAAGGTGATAACAAATGACTTTTGAACAAATAAGACAGATTTAAGTCTTTTTATGGCGTACACCTACCCATTATTTGTGATCTTGACCTGTATACAATCTGACCTGTATTGTAATTATTCATGCCTTCTTGTTTTCTATATAAAAACTGTGTATGACAAGTACGTGTGGGATCAGGATGTCCGAAATGTGTTGCGCTAATACATCACACGTTTCAGATAAACGATGCCTTCTTATTGTGTTGTGGAAATTCACATAGGGAACTAATCAAATTTTTGATTTTCGAATTCCAAGATTTCAAGAGGGAAATCACAACAGTTTCCTTCGGAAATCAAAAATATTCAGATCATAGTGTATGTATTTTTCGTGACACCACAATCAAGAAATGGCAGTTATGGATGACGGTCGAATATCAATCATGTTAATCAATCAATAGTATGGAGCGTCATACTATTCAGCTTAATTTCCTCGTTACTGTTAATCGTATCAAATAGGTCACTTATGTTCAAGTGTTGCTTTGTAGGGATTTTGATTGATTGGTTGCAGGATTCCTCATAAGCTGACAACATCAGTTAGAGATCCATTGGAAAATCATCTGGGAGTACTGGACAGCTGTTCCATTCTAGTTTAGGACTCTTCATCAGTATACAGTCACCGGGGTTCGAACACATGACCTTCTCATTACAAGGCGAGCTCGTAGACCATTAAGCCACTGGCTAATGAATTCCAACTTCTGCCAATTCACAACATATAGTTCCACCAGATCACTTACGTATTATGATCTGTAAAAAAATCAGTGGTGATTTTTCCCCTTAAACTTTGTTATTTTTTTAAATGATGAACTTGATTCTTGCAAACGTTCGTTTTGAAATTTCTGTATAATGCTAACAACATGATGATAAATAGCTCAAATTATTTTTTATTTCACTACACAGTTGACAAAAACACATACGAACTTATATGGGTGAACTATTATTATGATGACTAGAATCAAATAACACTATCACCTGTCTGTTTTCAGATGAACTAAAAAACTTAGACTGAGTTAAATATTCACATCACATGAATAGTACTCCAGAAGGAATTGTTTCCTGAGTAATTACTCTGCGCTGGTGATATCAGTGTTGTCTCCCCTGAAGCAGACAGTTAGATCAGTCATCATCAGTCATCTTGGAACTGAATTTCACTGGTTTAGTGCTTAATCGGTTGATCACGAATACATATTACGGAGTATTATGCAATACTCTGATATGTCTAAAACAGTGCATAGTGTATAACTGAATAGGTTCATAGAATTAAATTTAAGTGAAACTCATCGCCTCTGTGACTTTCATAGAAAGATGTGTATCTGCGTTAAGGCATTAGTTTGATAGATAGATTTCATTCACTAGTAAAGAATTAGAAGAAATTTTGTTTCAGAAATCTGCATAAGTGAAAAAAAATTCATGTAAAATGTAACTGAAGTTCTAGATCAAATGAACTGTAGTCAAGATTTGACAGAATAGTTCTAAAATATTTGGGCGCCAAGTGAGAAGTAGACATTTGTGAAAAATTATATTTGTAAAATCTCATCGATATTGAAATGAGTAATTCCAACGTTTCTTGTGTTCGGTAATCTGGTCCGAACTTCTTCAGGGAAATTAATCGAAATTAACATAACAGAGGTTCATATATAAAAGGAACATCTCTTGTTTTTAAAAACTTTGTCCAATCATGAGTCATAAAACAAGTAGTAACAAGTATAATAAACAAAAGTTGTATGAGTTGTGATCAAAATTTGATCTCAGACTTACAAATATTGATCTACCTTTGTTAAACACTTTAAACACAGTGTGTATGTGTGCGGATAAACAGTTGTAAAACAATGTCTTAACGTCTCCATAAGTAGATATAGACAGTCAGGAAACTTTGACAAAGTATTATTAGTTACTGATACATATCCATCCTTATTTATTAATCAGGATTTCCTATGCATCAGCTAACATCATACCTTCATGTCTGTTCAGACTGTTAGTATCTAGAATTTTATGATTAGACGTATTTTCAAAATTATGGTGTTTAGGATTAGAGTTTAGTTGAAGCACCCTGTCAAACTTATTACTTTGTCTTCTTTCTGAAAATGGAGCTGCTTAATTCGACCTACTGGAGTTGTCAGGTAACTGGAGAGCTACGGAAGATGTTCGCACCAGATTGCCGAACGAAACGTTGGAATTACTCATTTCAATATCGCTGAGATTTTAAAAATATAATTCTTCTTACAAATAAAGTTCTGGATGTCTAAATTAATCACAATTGAAGTATCTAATGATAGAAGTTGACAGCTAGTTCACATCTTTTTATCATCAGCCCGAAGCTTTCCATAATAATAAATAATTTTACTTGATGTAATAGTACACAGTATGATGAAGTAATAATAGCGTTTGCAATACAATTTATAGGTATTCATAATGATATAAGTGTAATCATACAACTTCGTGATTTGTTTTATATGCTTTCAGCTCCAACTGTACATAGGTATTGTAACTATCCAGCTCAGAGAGAGAATACAACCACATCAAAATATAGGTATTGGATAAGTTTAACTCTACTTGTCTAGTGTTGGTTCGATGAACACAGGCATGGAGAATTACCTCTAATCTACACCTCATTATTTTACTTTTTATTACTTTTAACCTATCCAAAACTAGGCTGAAATGACTGTTTAGTATTTCCTGGTTCTCTAAATGATGTCAACTCTTTATCGAACATGAAACAAGTCTAATTCTTACATATTAATTCTTCAAAAAAGTACTGTTAAAATGAAACAGTTCCTTTACCAAATATCTGAGAAATTCCAAGATGAAAAACACGAGGAAATGGAAGTATATAAAGGAAATTATGAAGTTTTGTGAATGAATAGATTGATATAATTACGAGTAACAATAAATTTTGTAAGGTACTTGTCATTCACTTATTATCAGTACTCTATTACTACTGTATCTGTAAGGAATAATATTCTACCACAGTGATCTAATTCTACTGCTGTTCACAAACTGTTATTAATATAAATATTTTTTTTAAATTTTAACACAGAAACCGAGTATTTTACTCGAACATAGTTGATCGATGAGAAATGCAAATTAACCGAAAAACAAAAAAGATGGCTGTCCTTTAACTTTGTAGCTAAGTAGATTATCCTCTGGCTTTCAATACGATGGGAGCGGAATGACTATCATCCACTGGAAGTGCAGTCACAACAAGCTAATCAGTTTTAAATAGTACGAAATGTGCAGCTTTCATTTCATTGTTGTTCATCACCTGGCCATCATGGTTCAGGGTTTGATTACCCGGCCTGTGCACTCCGTTCAACCTCGCTTAGCCTTTACAAGGCCCAGTAAAGAGGGTGTTCTGGAAGTGAGTCAAGCGACTGTAAAAAATAAACGCTACTGTGACTAACGAGGATATCAAAGCCAGAATCGGAAAAGCGAGACAAGCTTTCATTACCTTTAAGTCTGTGTGGAAGTCAACATCACTCACCATCAAAAATAACATCCGGATTTGCAACTCAAATGTGAAGTCAGTCAGTGCTACTCACTGTACGGATCAGAGACTTGGCCAGCGCGTCATAAAGAGCATCTCAAACAAACTTCAGATCTTCATTAACAGGTGTCTTTGCTCAATACTCAAGATCAGATGGCCAGATAGAAAAGATCAACAACAGGGAGGGATCTCTGGCAATGAGCGAACCAACCCAGCAGGAACCGATTGTGAAACAAATAGGTAGGAAGAAATGGAGATGGATTGGCTGGGCATACGCTGTGGAACCCATCAAGTGACATCACTAGACAAACCATTGCTCGAGTGGAACCCGAAAGGGTAGCGGGCGGCGAGTTGGTCGTCAGTGCATGGGTGGTGTGACTTGGAGGAGGTCATGTGAGGAGGAGATGAAAGCATGTGGGCATACTTGGAGAGGGGTGAAAAAGTTGGCAGAAAACAGAAGGCGATGGAGGCGTGCAGCTGAAGCCCAATGTTCCTCTAGGAATTAAAGGACACAATAATAATTATACTGCGACTGAAACTTCAAAGCTCAAGCATGAAACCCTGTGTCCTATTCGAAACTTAAAAGAATAAGAAATAATAATAAACTTATAAATTGTGACATTTGTGAAAATCTTAGAATTTTCGTGGAACTCACCAAGCAAAATTCAAATTGAAGCTTGTAATTTTCATTTATGTATGACGTTTCCTTTTGTACCCAAGTGCTTTAGATACTATAACGATGAATACAACTATAGTTGTCAGAATCCCATACATAATAATCAGGGAAAGACCAACATGCATTCCAATATTGAAATCGCTTCTGTCATAACGTATATACTTATCGGGATTTGCGAGGCCTTGTTCCAGAGTTACCATTTGAACAATTGGTAGAAAGCCTAGGAAACATGCGAGCACAACATTTCCATAATTCAACATTTTTGTTTCTTAAATTAGAAGATAACTTTGAGAACACAAGTGTACCAGATTTGTAGGAATACAAGAAAAAATAACAAATTAGCGCGAATTTCAATTTGATCTTGTTCAAACTTGTTTTTTATTTAGAGATTGGGGAACCAATCAGAAAGTTGTTCAGGATTATTTGATTCTGATTGGTTAATCACGGGTGACTTGTGATATTTTTTACAAAAATAAACATATTTAGTCAATTATATACCTTCACTAAAGCAACGTCTAATGATGTTAAAGACATGTAGTTAAAGGACATGCAGTTGACAACTGATCATGTGGCACGATATTTCAGATTTGTGAATTTTATTTAAAAAAAAAGAGAGAATTATATAATTTATTCTATATGTCTATTGGTCAATTAACTGACTGAACATTGTCGTTATCACTTGTGACGCAAGATAACTGATTGTACATGCGTAGTGTTATGCATTTATTATTTATCATTATTTTGTTCCTTGTAGTCCTGAATGGAAAACAGGGCTTCAAGTTTTGAGGTTCCAGTGGCACTTGTGTTTTTTTTATGGGGTGGAGTTGACAGCGTCTCCGGGCTTAATCCTCGATAGACAAGGTTAAGCAGAGTGCACCGGCAGGGAGCTGAACCATAACCGCGAGCATGGCTGGTGGGTATTCTACCGTCAGACATCCAACGCATAGATGACTTTTTTTTTCCTTCACGTTCCCCAGTGGAATATAGGGCTTCAAGCTAGTGGCTTGAAGTTTCTGTAGCAGTGTTTATTTTACAGGATGGGGTTACTAGCCAGCGTCATGCCCAACCTTTCCTCTTTACCAGCATTATTTTTGGCTTAGCGAGGTAAAGGAGTGCGTCGGCCGGGGATCGAACCCCGGACCATGTTCATGGTTGTCCTAACCGCTATACCACCGACGCACAAAAGACCTAGGTTTCGTGCTAGTTTGCGCTCATCAGCAAGGCTTATCTGCAACCTTGAAGGAACTCATGTCCCTTCTCAGATTCGAACCCAAGTCACCCATTGCTGCAGTCAGAGACGTTACCACTGAGCTATTCGGGCTTATGGATGACTTTAGTAAGAAGTAATTCCTTTGAGAAAAAAATCAAGCTCTCACACCCGACTAAAACACACACATCAGAATAATAAAGTCAATCAGTGCTACCCGAGGACTAATATCTTGTCAGTATTAATTAAGAAATAATGAAAACATGTTAAGACAGAAACAGACATAGAAGAGCTTGTCTATCGGCTTAAATGTTTAAGTCATCTGGTTTTCTCCTGATAATAATGATGCATTGAGTTTACTCCACTTCCTATTGTTCTTATAATTCACTCAGGCGCTTTAGTAGTAAGTTTTTATAACCACTGAGATGCATTGAACAATATTTCAATCTCAAGCTTGACCACAAAACGACTGAAAATCTGAGATTAATGGACAGTTCTTTTCTCCCAATTTGGGGTTCATCAGTACTACGCACCTGTAGCTAGCTGAACCCACCTAGGATCGAAACCTGGGGGTACACGCTACAAAGCAATTTCGTCGACCACTGAGCCACTCGAACGAAATCCAATGGATATTTCATCGATCCTAACTCCTGCTAATTCGTGAAGGATTATAAGACCTCCAGCCAGTGTCGTGGGCAAGTATTTGTCTACCTTGGTTTCCAATGTTTATCTACATGAAGTCAGCTGAAATCAGCTCAGTGGGCTAAAACCACTAATATGGATGGTTAGATAATCAATATAATCAGAATCAAAAGTGACTGGGCGATTGGTCACACTCTGCATTGAGTATGCATTAGTTCAGTTAGGAACTTTTGATGTCAATCTCTTTGGCAAGTCATAGAAGATTTCGTGTCTTTTGCATACTCAATATTTTAAGGATATATGGAAGTTCCGAAAAAATGCCCTGTATCCACCAGATGTTCGGAAATTGCATTCTGTGAATATCTATTTCCATTTAGCAGTAAATTCCTTGAAAAATCCCCAGAAGACCAGACAGAAACCCTTTTTCTGTCTATCTGTGGATTGTAAATCTGTTTTGAACGAGCTCTTAAGAATCAGTTAACCATTGAGCTAACTTTTAACATAGTGACTTAATCATTAACAGCACAGGTTGCACAGGTTCATTAGACTTATGAAATTTTTAAGTCATTGATTGAAGGGAGACGTCAACCTTCCGACATGAGTTAATTACACTGCCCATCGTCTACCGGCTCCTTCATAAAATCTTCACCGTGACATTTTTTTCAAATGTCGTTGTGCATTCTTTTTAAGATTTTTCCACGTGTGGTTTTTCTCTATCGTTAAGGATTGTTAGAGTTTGATATGCAATATCATTCCGGTTCATTACAACAGCACCGAAGAGTTTATTAGGCTTATAGGTGACAATATCATCATTTTTACAAATTTTCTTCAAAGGTATTGTGAGCTCCTAGGTAAGCGTCTTTGGTTTCTCAGACGGTGATATGTGACATTAGTCAGCTACATGAACTAGTTTTGAATTTAACCATCTTTTGTCTTCATCCAGAAATTGTAAGTCAGAGGGTTGTTGAGACAAGTCTGCGGGCGTATTTTACTGATCCTCTTCTTGTGAATGTGAAACTTGAATTCCAGAAGCAAAGCCTCCAGTTCTATCTTCTCTAAGTTTAATTTCATTATAGATAAGACTTTATTTCAAAGTTCATGATTTCTAGATAGAAAAAAATATTTAGACTATTCCATAAACAATCATAGAAGGCCAGATATGACTTAAGGTTGAGATTCGGTTATTCGGAGGATGTTATTTTGATAAGGCGTTGGTGGGACAGTGATTAGGACTCTCGCCGACCATGCACATGGTCCGAGGTTCGATCCCCTGCCGACGAATACCTGGTATCTATGGTTGGCCTGCAAAATATGGCATACCGATATCCATGCTGGAAATTCCATACCTGTACCAAAAATATACTGTGGAATCAAGCTGTAATCAAAAATAAAAAATAAAAATAAATTAAACGGTAGTTGTTTCACAAACTGGAGTGAAGGTTCTCTTATGACGTGATCTTCATCGACTATCCAGGGTATTCTGCCAAGTATAGCTACTATCTGATTCAGGGGTTTAATCCTATTTATGGGGTGGTATCTTTTCCAAAACTTGATATACACGGTTACCCTGATAATCGTGCATAATAATAGGGATTTCAGCTTACTGAGATAATTTCAACTTCATGAATTATAATTTTCTTGAGTTGTTACGCAACTCTTCAGGCTAACAGTGTTTACTATTTGTTTCTGTTATCTGCAGTCTCCCGCTCCTCTACGTTTATCTACGTTTAAACGCATACAAACTGATGATAACTTCAAGTAGAAACTGTGCTGTTTACATTTTGTCTTGCATCATTCCAGAATAAAAGTATGACATTTTCATTCATTCTTTTATAACCAGAGTAATTTCAAGTCATCAGAGTCTTCAGATAATGAAACAGAATGTGAAACAGAATGACGTCATTCAGTATTGCAAATTTATTCTGTTTTGCATTATCAGAATGCATCAAGGGAATCACGTGTATGGAGAAGAAACATCCTCCAGACAAACACAGATCAACATACAAATTATTTTTCTAGTGTGACATCTTTCAACCTTGTATAACACAGAGAAAACCATTTTCTTAGATTGATTGATTGATTTGAGGTATTCACTGCAATAATTAGTTGTTTATACTTGGAGGCTTGTTGTTATAGATTGTTGGCCTGAAGAACGGTCAACACGAGAAAGGATATATATTTATCATCATCATCAGATAAACCAAGATGGCTTTTGGTGATCTACCCCGATTGTAACTAAATTCGATAAATATTTCATTGGTGTTTCTGAGAGTAAACAAGCAACTTCAGGTGAGTCAAATAACAAACAAGGAGGAAAAATTTGATTATTGACGTACGATTCTGATGATGATGATGATGATGATGATAACAAGACCAATTAGGTCAGATCTGAAGCCTAATAACGGACGGGGGCGACAAAATACTGTAGACACTATATGTATATATATATTCTTCGTTACTTTTCTAAGACATATTGGATTCTTCTCCTAAACATTTTCATCGCTTTCTTTTCGCCTTCCTCCTTCACTTTATTTCTAATTGACATGCCAACTATCGTTGTTTCAAATCGCAGAGTAATGGACAGGTATTCTGACAGGTGCCGTTACTGTTTTGTCTCGTTATCTAGTCCTTTCATTCATTTGTAAGGGTCTATTATTTTAAATAAATTCTCCGGAGATTCTTTCCGTCACTTAATGACCTTCAGAATTCGAGTTTAGTGGAAATATATGAAATAATATTGGTTAAAATATAAGAAATTATCTCCACTGACAATAATAGGAGACTAAATCTTAAGTGAATTTCAAATGTATCACATCAGACGATGAGAATCCATCAGTCCTCTGAAAGTCTACTAACTGTAACGTTGGGTACTGCTCATTCTATACAAAACAGAAAACTGTTCGGACTAATGAATTAGATCATAGTTAAACACTTCATCATATTCCTGCTCGTTACTCTGTTGGGTTGTGAATGGAACATATGGCCTCAACAGCACATCTCCACTTCATCCTGTCCTCTGCAATCCATTTTAGCTCGCCTCACAATTTTTCATAAGCTCTCATATCCTCCTCTCATGATCTCCTCCATGTACCCCTCGAATCGACGCCCAAGTTGTCGTTTCCAGTTTGGATTCCACTAGACGGAGCGACATGTAGTGTCAACTAATGATTTCATCAGTGTATGTCCAACCCATCTACATTTCCTCAGGCATACATTTTGGGTAACAAACTGTTGGCTGGTTTGTTTCCCGATTGAGTTCTTTGTTGGCAGTCCCTCTCTCTGGTCGGCTGTGTGATCTTCAGTCGAAAGTCGAAAGTCTGCATCAGCCTGTCAGAAATGATTTCGGTGGCACGCACATTATACCTCTGAAACATATGGTGGTGGGGAATGACATTCATGATTTTGCTGGTC